TTACCATGCTGTACATTTTCATCTATAGAGAAAGTTGTATTTGACAGCACTGTGATCTATATTATAACTGAACTATGTTATAAATTTCTATTATTTTTCCAGTTAATTTTGAAGAACCAAAGCCTGGAGAACAGTAGTATTTTTTTTTAATTTAACTTTTATTTTAAGTTCAGGGGTATGTGTGCAGGTTTGTAATATAGGTAAACTTGTCATGGGGGTTTGTACAGATGAGGACAGTCGTTTTAAAAGGCTTGCCTTGCAGTATCTTCCTAAGGACCCCTGATAGAGGCTGGGATGCTTCAGACTGTGTTGTCTTTCATTAACTTTCAAGAGAAGCAATGGGAGGATTAGGAGCCTGGGACTGACCATTAGCCCTGGAACTGACCACCAGGAAATGTGGGCTTTTAGGATATCCTGTGTATCCTGTGGCTAATGGACTCGGCATCCAAGTGCCTTTTACAGTCCCAATGATGCCCTAACAAGGCAATTTGTGATTCTGCGATCATCCTCAGCCAAGTCATACGGAGGGTCCCTGTGTATCCCATCACTGCACTAAAGCCAAGGCCTACACAGATGGTCTTCAGTTACATGAGGAAATAGCACATCCCTCATAAGAAGGGCAGTACATAGCAAGGGACCAGATGAAAAGCACATGAGGGTATAGGGCAACATTGTCCTGTAGACATATAATGCGAGCCACATATGTAATTCTCAGTTTTCTAATAGTCACATTAGAAAGGGGGAAAAGAAAATCAGCGAAATTAATTTCAATAACATTTTATTTAACCCAGTATATCCAGGATATTATCACTTTAACATGTGATCCATATAACAATTATTACTGAGTTTATATTCTTTGTACCACATCTTCAAAGCCTGTTGGGTGTTTTACATTTACAGCACCATTCATTTACGATTGACCATGGGGGCAGCATGGGAACACGAAGGTTTGGAAGGAATGAGGAGAAATGATTAGATAAGTGAGGGGTGTACTAATAGAAAAACACAGACACTTGGACACAGAAGTTTCCACCTGATGGACTGTTTTTAGCACAGGAGCACCCTGACAAAGCTGGTAATTTGGGAAAACTGCTGAGTGGCTGAACTCAGAGTACAGGGAAGTGAGAAAAGAGGACAAGTGACCAAGAAGCTTTGTGTGAAGTCTGTGGCATAGAGTTCTGAACTAGGCTAGTGGTCTCGGCAAGGCGAAGAAGAGATAAACCTGAACGACTGTTAAAGAAAAATACTGTGATCCGTGAGAGTAACGGGAAATAAAGCAAAAAGAAGCAAACTTCTTCAGTGATACACTTCATCTGATTAATTAGATCCACTGTAGTAGTTGAAAGCCAGCTTGCTTGCAGAGCAGTGGGGGAGGCCTATAACTAAGCGTGCATGCATATAATTATAACTATACTCGTGTGATAATGTTGTGAAGGACAAAACCAGAGTCCTATCATGTTATAAGAGGGTAGTCAAAGAGGAGAGGAGGTGAAAAGGCAATTACAGGAGCCAGCACTAAGTGGAATGAGGGGAAATTGATTCCAGCAGAGGAGGAGAATCAGGAACTGAGGGGCTTGAGGCAGAAATGAGCTTTCTACATTTGAAGAGCCCAGGGACACACAACAGGCTAGAGAAATAGGTGGTACAAGCATAAAATAAATCAAACCCAGGACTAGGCATATAAATGAGAACTAAGACCAAGTGCATCCTCATCATGAAATCTAAAGGAGTTTTGTGGCTCATCAGTGACAGATTATTGACACCTTTTTAATGACAAAGTGACATTTGCTCACTTAAATCATGATTGAAATAGTCACAATTTCATTTTCTACATAGAAGAAAAACCTGAAAATGAAGCCTTTGTTAGAATGCTTTGTCGTCACCTTCCTGTTTTGAAGGAAAGTATGACAACTGCCAAGAAATCATTCTATCTGTATTTTTGTTAAAATGGTAGAAGGGAAGAGGAGAGGAAAAGAAAAGTATGAGCTTATCATTAGCAAAACAAGCCCTTGGTAAAAAGTTGGCTTCAATTGGAGGATAGTGACCAAGGACCACCTCCCTCCACAGTGGTTTGGATGGTCTAGCCTAGATGGTCTTTGTTTAAAAAGGAGGAGGTGGGCCGGGCACGGTGGCTCAGCCTGTAATCCCAGCACTTTGGGAGGCCGAGGCGGGTGGATCACGAGGTCAAGAGATCGAGACCATCCCGGTCAACATGGTGAAACCCCGTCTCTACTAAAAATACAAAAAATTAGCTGGGCATGGTGGCACGTGCCTGTAATCCCAGCTACTCAGGAGGCTGAGGCAGGAGAATTGCCTGAACCCAGGAGGCGGAGGTTGCGATGAGCCGAGATCGCGCCATTGCACTCCAGCCTGGGTAACAAGAGCAAAACTCCGTCTCAAAAAAAAAAAAAAAAAAAGCAGGAGGTGAATATGAGGAAAGAAAACCTTCTGGAAACTGAACTTGTAAACTCAAGGGCATAAATTGATCATAGCATTATGGCTGTTAAAGAGCAATTAAGATGGCCAGGCGCGGTGGCTCAAGCCTATAATCCCCGCACTTTGGGAGGCCGAGGCGGGTGGGTCACGAGGTCAAGAAATCGAGGCCATCCTGGTCAACATGGTGAAACCCCGTCTCTACTAAAAATACAAAAAATCAGCTGGGCATGGTGGCACGTGCCTGTAATCCCAGCTACTCAGGAGGCTGAGGCAGGAGAATTTCCTGAACCCAGGAGGCGGAGGTTGCGGTGAGCTGAGACCGTGCCATTGCACTCCAGCCTGGGTAACAAGAGCAAAACTCCGTCTCAAAAAAAAAAAAAAAAAAGCAAAAGCAATTAAGGCATTTGAATGGTTGTGAATGTTGATACTTCCTATTTCATGAATAAGATGGGGAACAATTAAGAGTGACCAAGGCATCGTCTTAGGGGCCTGATCACCACTCCAGTTCTTCCCTGTTTTTCACAGGAGTCCCTCATTGAATGGCTTTGAAGAGTGTGAATTCTGAAATTATCAACCACAGTCTGAGTGTCTCAGAGGCAAAGAAGTGTAGTCTCTTTGTGTCAGGAATCTTTAAAAATAGAATCAGGGCCTTTCAAGGGCTTTCTAGAAGGAATCTGCATTCTGATCAGATTACAATATTGAAATATTGTGCCAGTGCAAATGCATTTTTAATTTTTAATTTTTGGCTCTTAAAACAGAAAATTCTTGTTCTTCTGCAAGGAATTCTTTTATACTAAGAAAAATAAAAACACTGGGTTCAACCTGTTGGCTACTATGCTCACTAGCTAGGGTGACAGGACCATTGGGACCCCAAGCCTCAGTGTCACTCCATATACCAAACCTGCATATGTACCCTTTAATTTATAGTAAAAGTTGAAGTTAATTTTTAATATTAGGTTCAGATCTCTTTGGAGATAAGAGAATACTGTGTTATAGGAAGAAATAGAAAAAAAAAGAATATTTGGAATTTCTATAGACTGGGATTCTCAACTGGGGCACATTTGGGGCTGGATAATTCTTTGCAGTGTTGGCTTCCTCCTGTGCTTTATAGAATGTTTAGCAGCATCCCTGGCATCTGTCCACTAGATGGCACTGGCACCCTTTCCAGTTGTGACAATCCAAAATGTCTCCAGGCATTGCCAAATGTCCTTTGTGGCCGTAGGCACTCACCTTGTGGAGATCACTGGTGTGGACACTCCCAAGAGAGCTCATTGTCTATATTGCCAGGACACTTTTGCCTGTCCCCACACACACACAAAAAATAAAAAGCCAAAGCTAAGATTTTAGACTCTTTGGGTTGCTACTGAAGCAGAACTATCGCTCCTGTCAGAGTAAACCAGAAGCAAGTTTCTGGTTTTTTATGGAAACAAGATGGTGTCCCTGCCGTATTCCAGGGATTCGACTGGGTAGGAGCTGCCTAGTTATTTCTCAAATCCATAGACCCATTCTTAGTGGTGGGGTGAGATGCAGGGGATCACTGGTAATGATTTCTCTCGATTCACGTTTGTCCTACTTTTCTTGTTGTTCTTGATTCTACCCATCCATGGTGCTTCTAAAGGACAGGGAACTGGACCACCCCAAACTGATATACACTGGTTCTGCTTATCACACATGAGGGTCTCAACAGGCCTATCTGTCTTATCAGCAAGTCTGCTGATACTTAACAGGGGCTTGCTCCAGAGACCTGGTGCTTGACTCTGGAAGAAAATCAGCATCAGCAATGTCATCAGTGCCTGTCGGGGTTGAATTGTATGTGTACACCTTAATAGATAATCTCCACATCCCTGTGACATACTGTGACCTCCAGGGACCTTAGCAATGCTCATATTCTACCCAGGTTTTGCAGGATGGCTGCCTGGTACTCAGAGTTTGCTTACATAGGAGGTGAACTCAACTCAGCACCCACAATTATGTGGGGTGAGCATCTTACAGGATGCAGGCTACGCAAGCCTTTATTTCTACCAGCCAACCAGTTAGACACTGACAATACTTGATTGAATGTTTCCTTTCTCAGAGTTCTTCCCTCATTTATTTTTTTTTTTAAATAAGTCTACATGTGTTAGAATGTGCAGGGTGAAAAAAAGAAAATAAGTCTGTTATTGGAAATTGAATTAATTTGTATTTAGAGCTAGTTTGGGGGTTTAGGGCTTGGGAAATTCTCAATAAAGAAAAGAAACTCATTTATGAATACCTATTTCTACATGGCACTAATCTCCATGCATTTTACTATTATCACAGGACTGATTGTACTTGGTTTAGGTGAGCCTAGTAGGCAGACTGAGATGAGTTAGATTTTCAAGATGGCAGAATGCTGTTCCTCTGCACAGTGCTTTCTGATTTGTCTTTAGCCTTTGCTTTGGTCAACTGATTAAGGCCTTGAATGGCTAATTGCTAAAGCTCTTAGTTTCCATTAGCCTTGACAGGGTCTCCAGAAGGGGAATTGTCTCATGTGTGCTGCTAGATAGTGGATAATCTTGATAAAAGCCTAACCTGCTTTCTCCTAGTGCATCCACTCTGGGAGAGCGTGGACCTGGTTCCTGCGGGCGATCCACAGTCACCCATCAACATCTGGTGGAGGGACAGTGTTTATGATCCTGGCTTAAAACCACTCACCATCTCTTATGACCCAGCCACCTGCCTCCACATCTGGAATAACGGGTACTCTTTCTTTGTGGAATTTGAAGATTCTACAGATAAATCAGGTGAGAGCAAGATCTGGTGGTCTTGTAAGGAGTTAAAAGAAACAGTGTCATGTTAACATGGACACATCAAACTCTCTTCATGATAGTATTGACCTCTTCGTGAGCAATGGCATGGAATTCATTGGAATTTAAAAAATTGTGTAAAATATACATAATATGAAATGTATCATTAACCATTTTTAAGAATACAGTTAAGTAGTATTATATTAAGTACATTACTATTATTGTACAATCATCACCACCATCTATCTCCAGAAATTCTTTCATCTTGCAAAACTGAAACTTTGCCTGTTAAACAGTAGTGCCCCATTCACCCTCCCTCCAGCTCCTGGCAATCAGTATTCTGCCTTTTTTTTTTTTTTTTTTTTTGAGATGGAGTCTTGCTCTGTCACTCAGACTGATGTACAGTGGCGCAATCTCAGCTCACTGCACCCTCCTCCTGGGTTCAAGTGATCCTCCCACCTTAGCCTCCTGAGAAGCTGGGATTACAGGCACCTACTACCACACCCAGCTAATTTTTGTATTTTTTTAAGTAGAGATGGGGTTTTCACCATGTTGGCCAGGCTAGTCTCATCTCTTGACCTCAAGTGATCCACCTGCCTTGGCCTCCCAAAGTGCAGGGATTACAGGTGTGAGCCACCGTGCCTGGCCTGTCTGCAACTCTTGTCTAATTCCCATAAGGAGAATTTATTTGTCTCTCTATAAACATTTTCTCTCCTTTAGATATAAATGGATTTTGGCTGTTACTATTTCATGCAAATCAGAATGGGAATGAGTAAATGTTGATCCCTTACTGAAATGTGACTCAGTTTGCTATATGAATTTTACTTTATTTTTTTCCCAATCCTTTTATTCCAAATAAATATTAATTGCTGTTGTTTTTGCCTAACTTTCTCCCTGATCTTTGTTTCTATCCCATTTTGGATTGTCATATGCTTTTCTTAGTGGCTTGACTTTGGGTGAGGAAACATGTTTAAATGTCATAGGTTGACTGAAGCTGTGGGTTTACTCTAGAGAGATCCTGTGTAGTCATGTGTTAACCCTCTTTTCATGGTGTTTCAGCTGCATTTGAATGCAGTCAAATTTGAAAACTTTGAGGATGCAGCACTGGAAGAAAATAACTTGGCTGTGATAGGAGTATTTTTAAAGGTAAAAAATCTCACCAACTTTAAATGATATGTTGTATTCTAGAATGCAGAGATAGAACATTATAATACTGTTATTTACTTTAGAATATTAGGCTCCATATACTGGTAAGATAAATAGTGCCTGAAATACAGGATTGTTAAGAATATATTTTAAATGGCATGAAACTGTGCCATCCAGTATAGTGGTCACAAGCCACACATAACAGTTGAGCACTTGAAATGTGGCTGGTGTAACTTAGAAAATGCGGATTTAATTTACTTCTCATTCATTTAAATTTCAATTAAAAAAACTGCTATTCAGTTCAGTTATTGAGAAACTTTTGGGACAGGCATGGTGGCTCACACCTGTAATCCCAGTTCTTTGGAAGACCGCAGCAGGCAGATTACTTAAGGCCAGGAGTTTGAAGCCAGCCTGGCCAACATGGTGAAAACCCATCACCCCTAAAAAATACAAAAATTAGCCAGGCATGGTGGCAAGTGCCTGTAATCTCAGCTTCTTGGGAGACTGAGGCACAAGAATTGCTTGAACCCAGGAGGCTGAGGTTGTAGTGAGCCAAAATCATGCAACACCACTCCAGCCTGGGCGACAAAGCAAGACTCTATCTCCAAAAAAAAAGCATCAAAATTTTTAAGAATGTTTGGAACCACTTGGGTTTGTGTATATATGTTTTCAAGTATACATTTTTTGAAATCTAAATGTAGATCAAGTATTTTTGATGAAAAGGTAGCATCCAAATTGAGATGTGCTGAGTGTAAAATACACAACAGATTTTTAAGAATTAATGTGGAAAAAATATAAACCATCTCAATAATTTTTATATTGATTGCATGTTGAAGTGATAATATTTTTAATATATTTGATAAAATATTAAAAAGGATTTCATCTTTTTCTTTTTACTTTTTAAATATGGCTACTAGAAAATTAATTACCTCTGTGACTTGTATCATATGTCTATTTTTAAGCACCAGTATAAAAGGATAAAGGCAAGTACGTAAATAATGGTTAAAATGTAAAATTAATGTATTTTAGGCCAGGTGTGGTGGCTCCTGCCTGTAATCCCAGTATTTTGGGAGGCCGAGGTGGGCAGATTACCTGAGTCCAGGAGTTCAAGACCAGCCTGGCCCAACATGGCAAAACCCCATCTCTACTAAAAATACAAAAATTAGCTGGGCGTGGTGGTGGGCATCTGTAGTCCCAACTGCTCAGGAGGCTGAGGCAGGAAGATCGCTTGAACCTGGGAGGCAGAGGCTGCAGTGAGCTGAGATTCCACCGCTGTACTCCAGCATGCGTGACAGAGCAAGACTCTGTCTCAAAAAATTTAAAAAAGAGTATATTTTAAACAAAAGAATATTCTTTAAACAGAATAGAAAGATAAAGGCAAATAACTGGAAAATCCTCATGAAGGGAACTAATATTTATGAGTGCTAAGTGACTCCATATTTGCCAAGTGCTTAGTTTATCTTCCCAAGCACTCTCTGATGGCAATATTATTGTCTCCATTTTTCAGATGAAGAAAGTGAAGCCCAATGAAGTTAAGTGCTTTCCTGCTAGGTCACACAGCTTACTAACGGAGGACTGGGGTTAAAAATCCACAGACCACACTCTCATGGGTCCCCTGAGCTCTTGTAGGTTCAGCAGCTACAGGCTTCCCGCATGTTTCCAGCAGGCTGAGTGTTTTAAGGGTACCTGGGATTTGTTTTAATCAGGTATAGTAAGACATGCAGACATGGGAATGACTGTCATGAAGAAGTTGATGCTATTCCCTAGAAGCTGGAGGCATGGCACACCATGCAGAGCCACATGGGGAAGCACCAGTGTTGGTCAAGAGGCAGAGAAAGTGAGGAGAGAATGTGGGCAAGAGCTTTAATTGTGGTTTCAGTGGGAAGAAACAGGCAAGGCAGGGTAAGCAGGCTTGGGATTGGCTAGTTTGAATCATTTCAGAGTGTTCTGGGGCCTAGAGGGCTGTCCCCACTTGGCTGTTACCTGACGTTGGAGTGATTGGTGCAGGAGAACAGTGACCCCAGTATAAGAGCCTGATAAAGGAGATGGTGGAGCTGTAAGCTCTGGATTGCACAGGAAAGGCGCTCTTGCAATTGTCTATTCTCTCTAGGAATTAGCCAGCCTTGGGAGGGACAGTCCTTGTGGTATCAACAAGTACCTAGATGTCAAAGCATTAAATACAAAAGCTATTAATAGAAAACATGCTTTATATACTGAGGCTCCTGAGATGTGCCCTTGAGGACTTAGCGTCCTGCACCGAAAGCCTGGCTTTCATGTGCTGTAGCCTGTTTGAAAAGCTTCAGCCTCCAGAGTCCCTGTAGGCCAAGGCTTAGAAAGGCCTGGGGAGGTGCGTGGAGCAGGGGCACCTTTCCCTGCGGACTGCAGGCACAGGTTTGGACAGCCTGCTCATGTGTTCTCTGTCCAGTTTAATTCAGCAATGTTTGTAACATTCTAAATTGCCAGTGTAAGCGGTTTCAGACTGATTTGTTTTTAGGTAATCACCAGATGGTCTTTTTAATTCATATTTCATTCCAGTTCTACAGTGAGATGTCCATTGTGTTTAATGTTTTTTCATTTGTTGTTAAGCTAGGCAAACATATTTTTTAAATTCATATTTCATTCCAGTTCTACAGCGAGATGTCCGTTGATTTTTGTTGTTGTTGTTGTTGTTGTTTTGTTTTGTTTTGTTTTGTTGTTTTTTGTTGTTTTTTTTTTTGAGGCGGAGTTTCGCTTGTTACCCAGGCTGGAGTGCAATGGCGCCATCTCGGCTCACTGCAACCTCCGCCTCCCGGGTTCAGGCAATTCTCCTACCTCAGCCTCCTGAGTAGCTGGGATCACAGGCACGCACCACCATGCCCAGCTAATTTTTTGTATTTTTAGTAGAGACGGGGTTTCACCTTGTTGACCAGGATGGTCTCAATCTCTTGACCTCGTGATCCACCCGCCTCGGCCTCCCAAAGTGCTGGTATTACAGGCTTGAGCCACCGTGCCCGGCTGATGTCCGTTGTTTTTAATGTTTTCTTATTTGTTGTTCTTAAGCTAGGCAAACATAAAGAGCTATAGAAATTGGTGGATACCATGCCATCAACTAAGCATGGAGTAGTATTTTTTCCAAATTGCTTGAAATATATTTTATGTTTCAATCTCAGAGTGGAGACATTACCAAGGCACTTTGAATCAGGAAGTTTAACTAGGTGAACTGTATTCTGTTTCCCTTTGAACATTGCCTTAGAAGGAGGCCTGTAATTTATGAATGACCCTGGCCTTGGGTCACATTGCAGGGGACAGAATTGATCATGTGGGTGAGCAGTGAGCTTTCTGGTTTTGCTGCCGTGCTGCTGAGGACTTGGAGCCTCAGAGGCATATTGCTGTCCCTGCCTCTTGTTTCTGACACCAGCTTCTTCTAAGTCCTTGTGAACATACCCAGAGCAGCCTTCTTTTCTCTAGCTGCCCTCCCACAGGCAGGGAGCAGAGAGCAATTCTACAGAAACTTGCCTTGTCCAGCTGGAAAGAACAGTAATCCATATCCTTCAGGTTGGATGCCTTTGTCCAGCCCCCTACAATTATTTCTTCAATATTCAGATTTCCAAAGGGCTACTCTTTGGAGGCCCATGTATTCTCTCCCTCTCTCTCTCATCCCCCACTGTATCCCTATGGTCCCCACCTCTTTCCCTCTCCTTTCCTCTCCATTTTCCTCTTTTTCCCTCTCTCCCCTTTTAGTACAGGATTTCGGCTCCTCCTGATCTGCATTTCATTATCTGTTTGTTTCTGTCAACTTTTATTTTACATATGGGGGTACCATGTGCAGGTTTGTTACATAAGTATGTTGCATGATGCTGAAGTTTGGGGTATAGATCCCATCACTCAGGTAATGAGCACAATACCCAGTGGGTAGTTTTTTAAACCCACTCCCCACTTCAGTAATCTCCAGTGTCTGTTGTTCCCATCTTTATATCTATGTGCTCAATGTTTAGTTCTCTCAAGAACATGCAGCATGTGATTTTCTGTTCCTGTATTAATTCGCTTAGGATGGTGGTGTCTAGCTGCATCCATGTTGCTGCAAAGGACATGATTTCATTTTTTATGACTGTGTAGTATTCCATAGTGCACCTATTACCACATTTTCTTTATCCAGTCCACCACTGATGGGCACTTACGTTGATTCCATGTCTTCACTATTGTGAATAGTGTGACAATGAACATATGAGTACATGCGTCTTTTGGGCAGAATGATTCATTTTCCTCTGGGTTTGTACCCAATAATGGTATTGCTGCATTGAATGGTAGCTTTGTTTTTAGTTCTTTGGGAAATCTCCAAACTGCTTTCCACAGTGGCTGAACTGATTTATATTTCCACCAACAGTGTATATGCATTCCCTTTTTTTCCACAGCCTGACCAACATCTCTTGTTTTTTTTGACTTTTTAATAATAATCACCATTCTGACTGTTGTAAGATGGTATCTCGTTGCTGTTTGGATTTACAATTTTCTGATGATTAGTGATCATGAGCATTTTTCATGTTTGTTGGCCACTTGCATGTCTTGAGAAGTATCTGCTCATGTCCTTTGCCCATTTTTTAATAGGGTTGTTTTTCTGCATTTCATTTTTAAAGGACAATTCTCAGTCTCCCTTAAAGAAGTGAAGCCTCCTTCTTTGTGCACTAGCCACTGTCTAAAACCTCCCAGCAATACTGAGGAGACTACGTGCTGGATCCTCACTAGAATTGAGAGATCAAACGGTTTTGGCTGTTTTCTGCTGGAGAATATAAAAAATACACAGTTAATTGCAGAAACAAAGCCTGGGCATGATTCCATCCTAAGAAGCGATTCTTCAGGTAACTACCCAGAAGGACCTGGAGCTCCTCTGGACCACTGCTGATCTCCAGATACTCCCTGAGAACCATCACCTCGTCGTCGGATTCCTGAGTGGTTTTCACTTCTAGATATGACTCGGTGACCCAGTCTATTGGCTAGGGCGCTCTCATGGAATTTGGGTCGTTTGGCACTTCCTACCTGATGCCCATCTGTCCAGATTACTAGACACAAGTAGATCCAGTATCACTCTTGTCCACCCCTGAATGAGCCCATCACCTGGATCATTAAGAAGCAGCCAGTAGAGGTTGATCATGATCAGGTATGTTCTCTCCACAATTTTCATCTAAGGAAATCCTCGTCTTCCCCTTTAAAACAAGGCTGGGCTCAGACTGGCATCAGTTTTAACATCTTGTAATGCTTATACATTTTTATTGAAGTGTACCAACGTCTTGTCTCAGTTTGGACATGAATTTAGAGATATTTCAAATTAGCTAGAGAGGAGTTAAAACTTAGAAGAACATAAGCTTTTTATATCTATATTTGACAGTGACATATGTTTTTATTATACATGCATTGTGTAGATTCTGTATAAAAATTAAGACCCTTTTAAATCAAAAAAGGAAGGCTGGAAATGGGTGTATTCAAAATCCTTTAAAATCCTTAAGGAAGTTTTGCTATAGAATCTCAGGATAAAGACAGAATCCAACAATATTCATCCAGAAATTTTCATGTAAATCAGTTGTTTGAAACTTGGGATTTATTTTTCTCTTAGAAACTAAGTCTAAGTGGTGGTTACTACATCAGCACACAAAATCCTGTTTAATTTGTAAACTAAACTGTAATAACAACTGTGTTTACTTGTTCATATTGGATTTTTATTGACTAAAAGCTTCCAACCTCTTTTTTATGCAGCTAGAATAACAGTGATACTAAAACCCATCATAGATTAGACCATTCTACCCAAAAAGGTAACAATAGGCCAATATCTCTGAAAAATATCTAACAAAAAAAAGCTAAATAAAATACTAGATATAGTATCTAGCAGTGCTTTAGAAGAAATATATACTTTGTCCAGGTAGGGTTTATTCCAATAATCTAAAATTTGTTCAATACTAAGAATTATATACATACGATTAATGGATTTCATCCCATCAACAAATCTAAAGTGAAAAAATATATGATCATTTCCGTAGATTTCCCAAAATACATTAGATAAAACTCACCATCTCTTTTAAAAAAAAATTTAATAGAACAGAAATGGAGAGTTCCCTAACTGGATAAAGTAAATTTATCTCAGCTCAAAAATAAATAGTATGTTTAATGTGGAAAGGATATCATTAACTGCATTATTATTAGCATACTAAATATTAAATTTAATTGAATTAACCTCTGGCAGGAGCCAATAAGGTTAGACCAAAAAAGATAAAGAACATTAGAGAAACACTAAAACCTCCTACAAAGATAAGATAATTCAGCAATTAGTGGAGTACCATGTTAATCTATAGAAATCAATTCCTTTGACATATGTAACTCACAATTAGAAGACCATCACAGGAGAAATAGAAACTGAAAAACTAAAATACTGTGAATAAACAACATAAAATATTAACAAGAAAACTATAAAACATTACTGAGGGACACAGAAGACTTAAATTTATAAAATTCATACCCTGTTTTTAAATAGGAAAATACCATAAAGGCACCTTTGATGTCAATTCTCCTTAAGTTGTGATTCCATAAATTTAATATGGTTTTAATAAAAATACCAACAGAATTTTAAAACTAGATATAGTACTTCTAGAGTTCATGTGGAAAAGCAAATAAACATGAATAGCTAGAAAAATTCTAGCTATTAGACCCATAAGACTTTAAAGCCACAATGATTAAATAGTATGATACTAGCACATGAATAGAAAGATAAATCAAGGGAAGAAAATTGTTCAGAAAAATGGCCAAATACATGAGAATTTACTTTATGATAAAGATAGCATCTCAACTCAATGCAGGAAAAGATAAATCGGGTAAATGGTATTGCGGGACAACTGAGCAGACATTTAGGAGAAAAAGTTGGATCCATCGTTCAGTCCTGACAAAAATATATTCCGGATGGAACAAAACCTTAAAGGTAAAAAAATGCCATAAAAGTACAAGAATAAGCATAGGAAGATTCTTTCATACATCCAAATGGAGGAAGCTTTTCTAACTATAAATCAAACCCAGAAGTAATCAAGAAAACAACTAGCAATTAAACTGCATACAAAAATTTTAAAATCCTTTCTGATGAAAATCACCATAAACAAAAGATAGATGACAAACAGGGAAAACATTTGCAATTCTATTCACTCATTTAGCTACTATTTATTGAATGCCTACTATATGCCAGCTACTTTTCTAGGTGTTTGAGACATTATAGTGAACAAAACAGAGAGTTAATTGCCCTAATATGTAAAGAGTTTCTAGAAATTAGTTTTTAAATAATCAACAGCAAATGGTTTAAACAGACAGTTTATAGTTAAGGAAACAAGAAGCCCAAAACCATGTGAAAAAATTTTCAACCTTACTCAATGAAGCAATGAAACAAGATGAAACTACACTGAAATATGAATTTTTACTTATCAAATTAGCAGAAACTCCAAAATTTTATTGCCCACAGTGCTGGTACAAGTGTGGAGCATGGGCAGCTTCATGTGTTACTGGTAGGTGGCAGTGACACATGAATAAAGATATAATAAACTAAAAAGTATGTTGTTTTACTAACAGTTAATTACAATATCAAAGGAAGATAAAACGCTAAGTTAGTACTATAATAGTAGCTATCAGAGTGCAATTTACCAAACAGAATTTATCCTACACATAAACTGCAGGCCTAAACAATAATACATATGCATAGTTATTCTTTGCACCATTGTTTGCAAACAACCTGAATACCAGTCACCTCTATGGCATTCTTCCTCCAAAATTTGTATCCCCCATCTAAATCTTGAGAAAGACAAAACCAAAATGAAAAAGGACTTCTACAAAATACCTAACCAGCCCTCTTCAAAAGCATCAAGGTCATGAAAAACAAGGCAGAAAAACTCAAGAGTGAAGGAGACCAAGGAGGAGTAGGTTCTGGAACAAAGGATACTAGTAGGAAAACTGGGGTGATCTAAAGTCTGGAGTTTACTTAATAGTATTGACCCAATGTTAATTTCTTAGTTTGATGAATGCATCATGATTATATAAGATAACATTAGAGGAAGCTGGGTGAAGGGTCTCAACCTCAGCACCACTGACATTCAGGGCAGATCATTATTGGTTGTGGGGACTGTCCTGTGCATTGCAGGATGTTTAGTTGCATCGCTGGCCTCAACTCACTGGCTGCCTATAGTACCAATTCCCCAGATCATGATGACCAAAAATGTCTCCAGACATTCTTCCCTCTCCATTGCAAACTCACCCTTTATTGAACACCACTGATATACGCTAATCCCTAATATCAACTAACCATTGAAATGCTGTACCTCTTGGTGTATAAAAAGAAGAAACCGACATCTTCAATGTCTATGAGAATGGTTTTTAACTAATCAACACCTTAATTAACCAGTAGAAGGCGTATTTAGTGGCAATTTGCTTATAACTGCCTATACCTCACCAGGACAAAACTGTGGTTTGTCAGAGAGTCTTTAGCCACAAACAGAATAATAACCACTGGCTTGTATTTTTAAAAGGATATGGGGAATGCTATAGACACTGGAAAGAAAAATACATTATAAGAAGCCTAGGCTGGACACAGTGACTCACGCTGTAATCCCAGCACTTTGGGAGGCCAAGGCGGGCAGATCACCTGATGTTAGGAGTTAAAGACCAGCCTTGCCAAAATGGTAAAACCCTGTCTCTAGTAAAAATACAAAAATTGGCTGGGCGTGGTGGTGGGCACCTGTAATCCCAGCTACGTGGGAGGCTAAGGCAGGAGAATCGCTTGAACCCGGGAGGCAGAGGTTGCAGTGAGCAGAGATCACACCGTTGCACTCCAACCTGGGCAACAAGACCGAAACTCTTGTCTCAAAAGAAAAGAAAAGAAATCTATACCCACTCTGATGCCATTATCTTCAGACATATTAGATATAAATGAAAAGTCATTTCAGTCATGATGATAATTGTCTTTAGAAGAAAATTATACCATAAGAATATCTCCAGGTTTTCAAAATCATGTACCTAGAAATCATTCCATAAATAAGGAGTCAGGCAAAACAAAGGAATTCATCAGTGAGAGGAGAAGGTTAGGGATCTCATTCCCCTGCAACTACTGGCTGACCCCAACCCTGCATTGCAAAACACTTGGCCCCCTCTGACCTCAAAAAGCATTTAAAGGTGCTTCCTCATTAAGCTCTATTTAGTGTCTTTACTATTCACCCATCTGCCTCAGTCTGGACCAGATCTATTGCCTGATCTTCAATTGGTTGCTGACTTTTTTGTCTCTTCCTGATTCTGGGATTCCAGAGGCTCAGTATGTTCCTTCTGCACATGCTTTTTGAGGGAAATGTCCTCAAAAAAAGATTATTTCACACCACCTTGAACAGACTCCAAACTTAGGCACTACAGTTTCTAAGCAGCCTTTGGATTCTTTGTTTTTGAAGTTAGATCTTTTCAGCTATTCGTGGAAAATTTGCTTCACTCTACTCCAGGATTACCAATAGAAATGGAAGGACAGAAATGGCATTAGTGTTCAGAGAAGATTATCTATACATGGATGTATGAACACTGAAAATTATATGAGAGTCAACATAAAACCAGCATTACAGGTACTAAAACATAAATCCTGATGGCTTTCACCATTTTCTTAAGAGCAAAATTGCAAAATGTGATATTAAGAGCATCCTAGACAAATATGAGTGAATGATTTGTTTTTCCTTAAAAGAGCATCCAAGTATATTGTGATGATTTTCACATAGATCAAAGAGAGCACCCTTCTGTCAACAGGTATCTGCACTTTTCAGGACCTGGCAGAAATTCTATGTTCTGCCTTTAAAGGTCAGGTTCAAAAGTAGAGGCAGCTGCCAGGCCCCTCTGCCCAGAGCTAAGTGTCTGGGACCATCAGTGGGAAGGACCGAGGCTTGAGCCGTCTTAGTCCTCCAGAGGGCATGTGGCGCCACCCACCCCCACTGCATCTGCGCCCCACGAGGCTCTGGTGTGGGCGTGACTACACCTCGCCGCCAGACCCACCCTGCACGCGGCGCCTCGTGCGCTTTCAGACATTTCTACGCCAACGGTCACTGAGCCCTGACACTTGGTCTCTGGGCCTGACCGCAGATTTCTCAAACTTCTGGCAGCCCAGCGTCTACTGGAAGGCCAGACCCACTGCCCCGCTCTCATGGGCAACTACCTGAGCCGCTTCCTGGGCTGGCCCTGGGCCCAGAAGCCGCGCCCGACCTGGGTGTACTTTCCCCGGCGGCCCAGACCCTTGTCCCAGGCCCCGGAGCAGCGCAAGTTCACCTACTACCATGGGAACTCCTGGGTCCGCACCCGGCCACTCCTCACCGCTCCTGGCCGGGACTACGCCCGCATCCGGAGAGAGAGGGTCCCCGAGGCCCAGAGGCGCTTTCCCAACAGGCCGCAGCCTCTGAGCAACGTCTGGCCCGATTTCTCCCCGGCTCACCTGGCCTTCATGAAGCGGTGGCTGCTTTCGAATGCCCGCCACCCCCAGCCCGTTCGCAGGCTGGCGACCGTGAAAATCGCCCCGCCGGAGCGCAGAGGTAAGCTGGCGTCCAGGCCATCTGCCTTCAAGCCTGTGATGAGAAGCGGAGTCGCCCATGCCTTTGTGCCCAGATCTGGGCTGTTGGGAAGATGCCCCCACTTTGGGCCAGCAGTGTCTCCGAAGAGATGCAGCATCATCCCACTTCTCCCTGGCGGCCGCCTGCCCCGCTGCAGAAAGTGTGGCCGCCAGTGGCCCGGTCGCAAAGCCACCACAGGAGCACTGGCCCTGTGGGCAGCACTGCCCCGACACCTCAGGCTTGCCTGCATCCGGAAGGAGTTTCTTTCGACTGGGGGCCATGCGCCTCTGAGCACACCCAGCTTGCTGCCCGGCTCCGAGAGCCAGGCCCCTGCCACCACCTCCTGAGCCTCCAGCCCTCAGCACCTTCAGCCTGTTGACCCCAGTTCCAGCCCCACACCAGCCACCGGCCCCACCAGGGTACTTCCCACTGCTCCAGCCGACCGCTCTGCGAGCCCCAGGCCCACCTCCCCTCTCCCCCCAAACCCTTCCCTTTCCCCTGCCAATTCACTCCTGCCTTCTCCCTGGGGACAGAAGGCATGCTTCTCCCCAGTTTCCGCAATAAAATATGTGTCATTATTAATAGGTGTCTTTATTACCATAGAGATTGTCAGTCTCTTTCAAAGACCACACTGTGCTTTCTCCAGCTTGGCACTATTATTTGGGCTAGATGGTTTTTTCTTGTTGGTGGGGAGAGGGGAGGGGGAGGGGCAGGATGAGGGGGAAGGGGTTGGGGGAGGGGAGAGGGAGCGGAGTGGGGAAGGGGAGGAGGGAAGAAGGAAGGGGTTGGGGGAGTGGAAAGGGGAATGGGAGGGGAGGGGAGGGGCAGGATGAGGGGGAAGGGGTTGGGGGAGGGGAGTGGGGAAGGGGAGTGAGGAAGGGGAGGAGGGAGGAAGGAAGGGGTTGGGGGAGTGGAAAGGGGGAGGGGAGAGGGAGGGGAAGGATGAGGGGGAAGGGGTTGGGGAGGGGAGAGGGAGGGGAGTGGGGAAGGGGAGGAGGGAAGAAGGAAGGGGTTGGGGGAGTGGAGGGGGGAGGGGAGGGGAGGGGGAGGGGCAGGATGAGGGGGAAGGGGTTGGGGGAGGGGAGTGGGGAAGGGGTTGGGGGAGTGGAAAGGGGGGGGCACGGGGTCACAGTCCTGTGCATTGCAGGGCCTTAGCAACATCCCTGGCCTCTCACCTCTAGGGGCCAGCAGCACACTCACAGTCCTGACTATCAAAAATGGCTCCAGGCCTTGCCAAATAATCCCTGGGAGAGTAGAGAGGTCAAAAGTCATACTGGTGGAGAACCACTGAGGGACAGTGACCTCTACTGGTGGAAACAGGCAAGCCTAGTCCCCTAAAATGTGCGGTTTTATAATACACGTCAAAGACGTAGGAAAAAACCAAGTGAAGTGGTGCATGCTTGACAAAAAACATTTTCACCGGTTTTCTAGAATGTTTGGGGTGTGAATGATTCCTGTGGTCTGGTCTTACTAGTAATCAGGAAATGCAAAATTTTACAAATGAGCTGCTATTTTAAACTTCAAATTGGCAACAATGTGAAAGTTAAATAATACCAAGTGCTGGTAAAGACACATGGAATTGGAATCCCAGGTGATGCTGTGGAAGCAAAGAGTCCAGCCATTCTGGAGTGGCATTTGGAAGTGATTCCTAGAACAGAAAACACAGCTACCAGAAACCCTGTGGCACACATACGCAGACACTGGTGAGGATGTTCTTTGCGGCACTTGTCATCACAGCAGAAAATTGGAACAACCTAAATGTCCTTCAGGATGGGAATGGACGAAATTAATATGGTATATGCTGTCAAGGGGATACTGTTCCACAGATTTAAGGAAAGAAACCAGGTACAGTGTCTCACACCTGTAATCCCAGCCCTTTGGGAGGCTGAGGTGGGCAAATCACTGAGTTTAGGAGTTTGAGACCAGCCCAGGAGACCGAGGTTGCAGTGAGCTGAGATCACAACACTGCACTCCAGCCTGGGTTACAGAATGAGACTCTGTTTCAAAAAAATAAATAAAAGGAAAGAAATAGCCCAGGATTTCTCAACATCAGCACAATCAGGCCAGATAACTCTATGTTATGAGGATACTCTGTACATTGTAGAATGTTTAAGAGCAAACCTCACATCTGTCTACCAGAGACCATTAAGACTACCAACAGTTGTGACAATCAAAAATGGCTTCCAGCCTGTAATCCCCACAATTTGGGAGGCCAAGGCAGGCAGGTCACTTGAGGCCAGGACTTGGAGACCAGCCTCTCGAAGTAACATGGTGAGTAACATGGTAAAATCCCGTCTCTACTAAAAATGCAAAAATTAGCCGGGTGTGGTGTCTCACGCCTGTAATCCCAGTTACTCAAGAGGTTGAGACAGAAAAATCGCTTGAACCCGGGAAGTGGAGGTTGCAGTGAGCTGAGATTGTGCTGCTGCACTCCAGCCTGAGTGGCAGAGCGAGACTCTGTCTCAAAAAACAAACAAACAGACAAACAAACAAACAGAAATGGCTCTAGGAATTGCCAAACATCCCCTGAATGACAATGTTACCTATGTGTGGCAACCACTGAGCTAAGAGCTACATTTTTTTTAAAAAGGATAAATCTCAAAAAAGCGTTTTCAAATGAAAAAGATTAGAAGTATTTTGTGTAGCACAATGCCATTTGTTCAAAGAATTTATTACATATAGTGCTTATAATTTAATTCATGTTTATATTTTATTTCTATGTATAGCAATTGTTCATTAAATATAAATTAAAATATTGATAAAAATGAGCTATTTTGAAATATTAGTATGATATATTCTGTATTAAGTTTAATATAACTATTTCATCATATAAATTATATAAAAAGAAATACAAAATAACATTTCTGGCAAAATAGAGGAGGCCAGAAACCAGGCAAGAGGTAATTTGGATGCCTTACCCATATTGTTATTTTTATCTAAAGCCTCTTTAACTACTGTTCAAACATGAATTACATGGTATTCCCCATTAGAGAGTCATAGAATATAGCTGTAAACTAAAGCAAATTTCCTTCTCATGGAGCTTGCTCTCTAAGGGGTTGGAGACAGAAGATAAACAAGTAAATAAATGCTTACACTGCACACTGGTAGAGGGCAGGAAGGCAAGCGCTATAAAGAAAAATAGGGAGGGATGCTTTAAACTCTCTCAACCCAACTGGGACCCCAGATACTCTCCTCATCCCAATCCACAAGGAACGACACTCTCTTACTATGTATGCAAGTTCATCAAATGTTTCAGTGTTTTCTTTGGCGGCAACTCACACTTTAATAGAGTACCTCAAAAATAAAATGAAGATATTTTATCTACTTAGAAATAGATTCCCACAAGACTTAAATTGTTGCTGAAAATATTAAACCTTACCTTTTTAATGGAGACAGTTTGGATTATACATAAAAAGTTCTGGACTGCAGCTCTAAAAGTCCAGCTTTTAGTCTGAAATTTTCCACTCCCTCATCTCTGGGATTGACAAGGCATTGCAATGTGAATGAGATTCCAGAAGGGGCTTGGGCTTAGTGTGCCTCATTGGTGACACTTTTAGCATTTTGGGTAGGATATTCCTTGTTATGTGGGACTGTCCTGAGCCTTAGACAACATTAATTATTTCTAATCCCCACCCTCTAAAGGCCACAGCACTCTCTAGTCATTAATATAGCTCCAAAACAACCCCTCGACATTTCTGGATGCTGAAGCGAGAAAGACTTCTAAATCTTCAACATTTATTTTCAGACTCCACTTGCCTACTTCTTGCCAAAAATTCTCTAACAGCCATCTATAGTTACTCAGCAAGAGCTGGGAATTACTCATTCATTCATTTATTTGGGCTTCATATTACTTTCTTCTTGTGAATTATTTCACTTTTAGAAATTTTATTCTTTGTATAGCTTTAGAATTTATAGAATGATTAGTTCTTGGAAATGCTGCCTTGCTCATTTGATGTGGGTTTTTGTGGGCATTGACCCCAAAGCTACTTTCCACAAGAAGCATCTCAGCTGTCAGTTATATTAAAATATAATAGTGAGTGTGTGATAACACAGGTCCATAAATTGCTTGACATTCCTACCTCTAGGAGTGAAGCTTAAGTCCCCTCCCCTGAGTATAAGGGTTTAGAGATTCCCTTCTAACAGTTATGGTTTAAAAAGAGAAACTTGGCAGGCACCACATGATCCAAGGGATCAAGGTGAACTTAACAGTGATGTCTTGTGTGTATCAGGGACCCTGACACCATATGCTGAGATGGGCACTTCACCTAATTTTCTTCTCTAATAATCCCTATGTTCTGACTAAATTATGAGAAAACAGCAGACGATATCCCATTGAGAACTTTTACGAAATACCCAATAAGCCCTCTTCAGAAGCATCAAGGTCATGAAAAATAAGAAAGACTGAGGAACACAGAGTTAGGGAGACTAAGGAGAAGATCTAATCTCTTGTAATGGATGCATCGTGGTTAGGTCTAATAATAGGATTAAGGGAACTGGGTGAAGGAGCCAGAGCAGGCTTTCACAGCCTTGACATTTGGTGTCACCTCATTGCTGAGGGAACCATCCTATGCTTTGCAGGAAGTTTGCCAGCATCTCTGGCCTGCACATGCCAGCAGTATGTCCCTTTCACTGCAACTCCCTACCTGGCCAAATAGTGAAACCCAACAGTAAATACCTCTGTATAGTTCCAAATGTTCTGGGTTAGGGAAGGGACACAAATTGTCTCAGGTTCAGAACCGTTATTACACAAGAACACTATCTCTGCAACTATTTTTTTAATCTAAAATTATTTTAAATTATGACATATTTATGTATATGTATTGATATGTTTTGGCTTTGTGTTCCCACCCAAATCTCAAATTGTAATCCCCATGTGTCAAGGGAGAGACTGGGTGGGGAGTGATTGGATTATGGGGGCAGTTTTCTCCGTGCTGTTCTCATAATAGTGAGTTCTCATGAGATCTGATAGGTTTTTTATTTGTTTGTTTTTTGAGACGGTGTCTCAGTTTCACTCTGCCACCCAGGCTGGAGTGCAGTGGTATGATCTTGGTTCACTGCAACCTCCACCTCCCAGGCTCAAGCAATTCTTCTGCCTCAGCCTCCCAAGTACCTGGGACTACAGGTGCATGCCACCATGTCCTGCTAATTTTTGTATTTTTAGTAGAGACAGGGTTTCACCATGTTGGTCAGTCTGGTCTTGAACTCCTGATGTCAGGTGATCCACCCAGCTCAGCTTCCCAGAGTACTGGGATTACAGGTGTGAGCCATCCCGCCTGGCCAGATCCAATGGTTTTACAAGGAGCTCTTCCCCCTTCACTCGCCGCTCACTCTCACCTGCCACCATGTAAAAACATGGCTTTGCTTCACTCTTGCCTTCCACCACAATTGTAAGTTTCCTGAGGCTTCCCTAGCCATGAGGAACTGTGAGTCAATTAAACCTCCTTCCTTTATAAAATACCCAGTTTCAGGTAGTTCTTTATAGCAGTCTGAGAATGGACTAATACATGTGTATATCTATAAATAGATACATAGATATATTTTCGCAAGAGCTAAGCAGTTATTGAAAAAGTTGCCTAGGCACT